CCTCCTTGATCGTTTCTCCAAGATTCCTTGCCTCCAGATGGATCTTGGCATCCACTACCCAGTAATGTCCAGGGCAACAAAATCAAGCTTTGCCAAGCTCGCCATTTTCTTTTATGAAAGAAAAATGAGATGTTTAAGAACTTGCAATAATATGTATTCTTGAGGGATGTAGTTTTAGAACTTTTGGTTCTTACAAATTTTTCATTTTGATCTTCAGGCCAAAATGATAAGCACTTGAAACTTCAGGCTAGAGATTTACATGATTAATGAGGAGGACGATTGAACCGCACTGTTCTCATTGAAGCAAGTATAAGATGAGCGATTATTCCGCACCACTCAAGTAGCAGGAAAATTTAAATATGCAGAGCATGGTGGGCGATTATACCGCACCACCTAACATTGAAATAAAATTAAATCTACAACTCAAGATAGGCGATGATACGGCACCATCTTGGATTGTAGTAAGATTAAATTTGCAGTCCAAGATGGGCGATTGTACTGCACCATCTTTGATTGCAGTAAAATTAATATAAATAAACACTGGGTTAGTAATAAGAAAATACACCAAACAAGAAATCAAAGATATAAGTAATTGTTAAATTGAGAATGAGAAGTAGTGTAACAACCCGTCCTGGGATTTACAGAAGAAAAATAGTGTTTTTATATTTTCACTAAGTTTGGGGGATACTTTCCTTTTTAAAATTATTTTTGGTCTTAAATGGTGTGCCCAAAGGGCCCACCCCTGATTTGTTTGTCCCCGGTCCCCTTTCCTTTCTCTCGTCCTCACTCTTCTCTCCCTGAGTCCTCACCTTTTCTGTAACTCGCTCACACTCTCTCCCTCTCGGTGCTCTTCTCTCCAACAAGAAAACACGCACACACACACACACACACCCCTATACATACATATACACAGCCAACAAGAGAACTTCACCATCATCCTCATCCTCTAAGCTTCATCTTTCTCTCCCTTACCTTCAGTAACCATCTCGGCACTGCATACAATCATTGTGCACGAGATCTTCAATGAGGTAAGTGCAAAGCACACCTAAATCTCCTTAGATCGTGCTTATTATTGTGTTAGATAGTGTTTGAGTTGTTGTGGTATGGTTTAAACACCAAAGTAACTCGGGTAAGCGTTTTCCAGATTTTTCAGCGAAGAACACCGCCCCTTTCGAGGAAGTTATTAACGTTTAAATTTTTTTGAGCTTTCTGGCCGAAATCCGACCTTCTCTTCTGTTTAGCTTTGGCGAGCAGTAACCACACCAGGCCTTTGGGCCTTTCTTGCCGAGCCCAACCCTTTAACCCTTTGAACTCATCCCAAAACCCTGAAGAACCCAAACCCATGGGCCTTTAGGCCCAACCCGGAACCAACCTAAACCCTTTTACCTAGAAATCTAAACAGAACCCGATTTCCTATTTTTAAAACCTAACCCAAAATCCTATTTAAGCTAAGGCCTTAGGGTCGATTGGAAGTCGGGCCTTAGACCCGTTCACCCTAAAGCCCTAAGCCCAATTCCTAAAGCTAAACCCATCCCACCTAATTACCTAAACCCTAACCCATATCCCTAAAGCCCAAACCTTTTAAACCTTTAAACCCAAACCAGTCCAACCCAGTACCTTTGACCCGAGTTGACCGGACCTGGATCTGTTGACTTTGCTCCGGTCTGACCGTTGACCTGATCAACTGTCAGTGTTGACTTTGACTTTGACTTTGACCAATCAACGGCCAACGTTGACTTTAGGGTTGACTTTTTGGGTTTTTGTTCGGGACCTCTCCCAGGCTAATTTCGATGTCCTGGACCCGTTTTTGAAGTCCGTTTTCTCAAATTAGGTCGTTTGAGTAGAGTTTGACTAAATGTACCCTTTATGTGCTTAGGGGCAATTAACTATGGCGTTTCCATTTTCGCTAGTTGCGTGGCTCTTCGGTAGCTAAGTACTGTGAGTGAACCCCTTCTAAAAATGCATACATGAAAAGCATGATTTGATGACTATGTTTTATGAAATATTTTATGAGATAACATGCTTACTAAGACTAGTTTGAATTATTCCTATATTTCCTATAACCCATGTTCTTATAGAATATCCGATGGATGACGATATGATATTTAGAACACTTTTTTATAGTATAGATGATGGATGACTTTATACTATGAAGTTGCTTTTCAATATACGTGTGTTCACTGGTTTTGTACTTACCTAGTGGTCTTTTCCGCTATGGGACGTAGGGATAGATTCCGGTCCATCCCGGGCGACGGTTTGGTGTTGGCATAGGGCTTGAAGTGTGTTTCCTCTGGCTATTTAGCACAGGGACGGGGAGCCGGCATGGGGCCTGGAGTGTATTTTCCTCTGACTGTCTGCTCAGAGACGGGGAGCTGGCATGGGGCTTGGGGGTTATCGGACATTCACTAGTGATTATTATTTATACAAGTTATGATTTGAGACATTACACGGCATGCTAGGTTTCAGAAAACCTATGTTTATCATGATATATATGTGTTTTCATAAAACCTAGGGGTTAGTATGTTGATAACTGTTTTATTATATATATATCAATTTGGTCCACTCATGTTTGTTTTGCGCCCCCTTCAGGACTTAGAATTGAGGCATACAATCCCAGCGTCCAGGCATTTCCGCATCGGCATCTTCGAGTCTTCTCGGTGTAGGACCCATCCTTTGTTTCATTTAATTTTATATTATTTCTTTGAGTGTTCTAATTAGTTCTATACTCTGAACACGTTCCTTAAATGCATATTCATTATTCTTTTATATTTATAAGTCTTATTTATCCCTTGTTTTCAACATTTGCACTCAATAAATGTCTTTCGTCACCCTCGGGTGTCGGCCAGCACGTGCCTATCCTGGTATTCGAGGAATATCGGGATCGGGGCGTGTTAAGTAGGCATGATGCTAGCAGTTCATCGCAAGGGTACATCATGTAGGTGAGGCAGAGGAAGAAGAAGAACAGTAAAATCCTTGGAGGAAGCATTTTTCGATGAAGGGAGATGAGAACTGGTTAGAGAGTCATGTTGATAACGTGTTATAAATAGACAAAAGTTAACACAAGAGGATGACAGATAAAAGAGGGAGAGATGCTCATGTTATTGATTTTTCTTTTCGTAGTGTGTTTTGATAGCACACAGATCGCTCTATTTATAGAGCAACTCCAAACAAACGTAATAATTACATCTTGAAAAACACATCACACACTTTTGAAAGTATCACACAAGTACAATCATCATTCTTCTCCCAAGTCTACATTACTGTGTGGGCATTCATTCATCTACCAATGTTTACAACAATTAAAAATTATTTTTCATGTCTTTCTGTAGGAAAGGAAAATGCAAAATAATTTTCTCACATTTGGTAAGAATAGAAAAATAGGTAGGAATATTGTTTTTTTTTTGGAATGAATAATTGTGGCTTACTACCAGTTGTCTATTTTTTTTTTCCTTACTTTTTTTTTTTTAAGGAAAAAAAAAAGAATTTGTTAGTCCATGGATAGTTTTAAAGGAAAACTAATGAAAAGAGCTTGAAAACTTTGAGTTTTAACGATAAGGATAAAATAAAGAATAAAGTAAATAGTAACAGGATTTATTTTTTAGTGTAAAAATGTGATTTTTTGTTAAAATGAACAATATCAGAAACTTTTTGTTAAAGTTCCCTAGATTTTAATGAGACTCTTCAAGCAAAGGAGCAGGACGGTGGCCATATTCCAAGTGAGAGACAGATGGAGGGTTTCCGAAATGTGGTTAATAGTTGACAGTAAATTCACCAAACATGGATCGGCTGCTTTCCAAACTACAAAGTGCACACCATCTACAGAAGACAACGTCGAATGATGTGCCTATTCGACTTCTCTGGGATTATTGTTCATACATTTTGGATACACGTTTTTGTGAGACCTACTCTGTAATGTATTTCAATAATTTAACCGTCTATCTTTTATATCTTATCTCAAAGATCATGTTTATCAAAATTCACCTAAATCTAAAACCATATGACCGTTAAATTAAATTTAGTATATATTTGTAGAACCATATTTGTCCATTTTCTTCACTACAAATGAATGTTTGAATGAATTCATATTTTTCTAATTTTTTTGCAATGATGATCTATAAATGATGTTATAAAAATAGACAATTCGAATCGCTAAAATGCATTGCCAAGTAGGCCCTACAAAATGTGTGTAAAAAGTGTGACACTACTATTTTTACACAAGTTGTTGTGGGGCCCACTTGGTAATGTATTTCAATGATCCGAACCATTTATCTTTTATGTCTTCCCTAAAAAAAAATCATGTCTATAAAAAATCATCCAAAATTGAAATCATATGACCGTTGAATTAAGGGTTTAAGGTTTCTTTATAGAACCGTATTTATCCATTTTCTTCGCTACTATTAAATGTCATATTAGTTTTGGATTTGTCTAATATTTTAAAGATAAGCGGTTTGAATTGTTGAAATACACTACAAAGTTGACCCCACAAAAATTTATGCTAAAATTGTGTAGAAAACGTGATGTCAGAGATTCACTCTTTATAATTACATATGTTAAATAAATTTACTTGATGCCAACTCCAACCGTTGGATCAACCAACGGTCTCCATTCAAACTTTTTTTTTTTTTTTTAATATTTACAAATTCATTGAATTCAACGGTTGAAATCTAATATGATCAAATTTAACAGTAAAAAACAAAAATATAACAATCCAAATTTAACGATCCATATGTGTGTGCGTGTGTGTGTACATATAGCTAGCTACAGTAAGGGTGTGTTGGGACAAAATTGAGGGGATTAATCAAATTTCTTTGTGTGAATGCATCTGAGCAAAAGGTTAGGGGAACTCATAAAGTGCATGGACAAGAGCAACGCAAAGCATCACACATAATGATAAGAAACCAGCTGGAACTATCTCGATTCCCACGCAAGAAATATACCTTGTCATAAGGATGAATCCATTGCTTTTTTATATACCTCATCATAAGGAAGCATCATCATCATCATCATTATTCGTACTATCTCAATTCCCCTGCACCCACCTTATCAAGAAAGAAAGAAGATGGCCGAGCTTGCATTTGCGTTGGCAGCCAAACTCATTGAAAGGCTCATCTCCATTGCTTCTGAGGAGATTTGCTTGGCGTGGGGCGTTAAAGCGGATCTACAAAGGCTTGGACGCACCATGTCCACCATTAGAGATGTGCTCTTGGATGCCGAAGAGAAGCAGGAACATAATAAGCAGCTACGCAGTTGGCTACAACAACTTAATGATGTGTTCCTTGATGCAGAGGATCTGTTGGATGAGTTTGAGTGTGAAGCTTTGCGAAGACAAGTGGTTCGTGGAAGTGGCACAACTAGAAAGGTACGCCATTTCTTTTCCCGATCTAATCCAGTTGCATTCCGCTTGCGAGTAGGTCATGAAATTAAGGACATAAGAGAGCGGTTACATGAACTTAAAGGTGATAAGAATTTTGCTGATCTTCGCACTGTTCATCATCACCCTCATCTCGGTGACCATGTGAGGGAGAACAGGAATACAACCCACTCATTTGTCCGTGCTTCGGAGGTTATTGGTAGAGAAACAGAAAAAAATAAAATTGTTGATCTTCTAATGGTACAAGGCGAGGATCATCAAGGTGGGGATAATAGGAATATGTCTATTATTCCTATAGTGGGATTAGGAGGTTTAGGGAAGACCACACTTGCCAAGTTGGTGTACAATGATGAGAAAGTCGTTGGGAGTTTTGAATTAAGAATGTGGCAGTATGTGTCAGTGGACTTTGATGCTACTAGATTGACAAAAGAGATCCTTGGCTCTGCATTACGTACACAGATCAGTGAAGGGTTGTCTCTGGATCAGTTGCAAGCACAACTACGAGATGCTTTAAAGGATAAAAAATTTCTCCTTGTCCTAGATGATGTGTGGAATGAAGATCGTATCAAATGGAGCGAGTTGAGAGATTTGTTGATAGAGGGGGCCAAGATAGGATCTAAGATTTTGGTGACGACACGGAATATCTCAGTTGCTTCAATCATGGGCCCAGTTGGAACATACATAAATTTAGAAGTTCTCTCTTTTGAGGATAGTTTGTCTTTGTTTGTAAAGTGTGCATTTGAAGAAGGACAAGAAAGACAACATCCAAGCCTCTATGAAATGGGAAAAGATATTGTAAGAAAGTGCGGAGGGGTTCCCTTAGCTGTGAAAACCTCAGGGAGTCAACTTTACTCAAAGACTGATGAGCGTGAGTGGAAATTGATTAGAGATTCTGCGATATGGAAATTAGAACAAGAGGGAGCTGGTCACATTCTACCTGCTTTGAGATTGAGTTATAATCAATTGCCCACTCATTTGAAGCAATGCCTTGCTTGCTGTTCAATTCTTCCAAAGAATTACATTGAATTTAATAGCAGAGTATTGATCAATGATTGGATGGCACATGGAATCCTTGAATCTCGTGAACATGGGGATATGGAGTTGGAAGATGTTGGTGAGCTTTATTTCAAAGAGTTATGGCAGAGATCTTTCTTTCAAAATGTTAAATATTACTATTTCTTCTATGAATTTGATATGCATGATCTCATCCATGACCTTGTACAATCAGTCGCACAAGGTCAGAGTTTGATAGTAGACTCTGCAGGGACCAAAGGCATCTCTGAAAATGTTAGACATCTCTTATTTTTTGGAAGTGGCCAAAATGTTTCAACAACCTTGCAAAAGTTGAATAAAGTGCGGACTATAGCAGCAGAGAGATGTGAAAATATTGATGAATCCTTCCTCAGCACTTGCATTTCAAGATTCAAATATCTGCGGGTGCTTAGGTTATTCAATTCACCTTGCGAATTGTTGCCGACTTCCATTGGTTCTTTGAAGCATTTGAGAAGCCTGGACTTGGCTGGAAATGAAATAATCACCTAAGTACCCAATTCGATTTGTAAGTTGCAGAGCTTACAATCTCTGAATTTCTATAAATGCGTGAATCTTGAAGAGTTGCCTAGAAACATGAGAAAGTTGATCAGCCTCAGATGGCTTGAATTAACCACAAAACAATCAAGTTTTCCAGAGAATGGAGTGGGATGCTTGACATCACTTGGATATCTTTCTATTTGGAAGTGCAGTAATCTAACGTGTTTGCCGCGTGATACGAGTTTTCTTGCGTCATTACACACTCTAATCATAGGCAATTGTGAACAACTTGATTTGGCGATGGAAAACTATCAGGTAATTCCACTAAGGCTCCAAAAATTGTGGATTCAAGGAGTACCACGAATGACGATATTGCCTGAATGGTTTCAAGGAGCCACAAACACACTACAAGTCTTGTTTATTAGGGATTGTGAGAATTTGGAGGCATTACCTGAGTGGTTGACGAGTTTCACATCGCTTAGAATACTTGGCCTCAGATCATGTCCCAAACTGTTGTCTTTGCCAGAGGAGATGCATCGCCTCACTGCCTTAACACAAGTTACGATCATAAATTGTCCTGAGCTGGAGACGAGATACCAGCGCAATACAGGAGGTGATTGGCCAAAGATTTCTCATGTTCCAAATGTTTCTTTCGAATAGAAACAAGGCCGCTGTCTTCAAAGCCGCCTGCCTCTTATTTTGTCTGTCTGCCTCTGTTTTATATTGTCTGACTTTTTCTTGTTTTTGAGTTGCTTGTATTTCGTTCCGGCCGATGTAAATTGTCATGTTGATTTATTGAAATGTTACTCCATTTTAATTATTTATTGCAATATTACTCCATTTTAATCAAAGTCCTTCCTTATCAGTCACATTGTGTGTCTCTACTTGTGTATGTGCAGTTGACTATTTTGCTTGCTTATTTGTTTCTCGGACGCTCAAGTTTTTTAGAAGCGGTATTCTCCAATCTAGTAACTCCGACGGTTGGTGCTTTCACCGTCATCAAACTAGGTAAAACTTGAGAGGAATTCAGCGTTTAATTAGGCACATACAAAGCCGTTCCATTGTCACAACTTGCAGTTAAAGCTTGGCCATGGCGGAGGGGGCCTCCCTGTTAGATTCTGGCTAACCATATGGCACAAGCTGAAGACCTGAATTACTTGTCATTCAAGTTAAAGATGCAATTCTCTCTACAATCTTTAAGGCGAAACCCAATTCTCAGAAGCACCAAAGAGAAAGGAAAATGCAGCTGGAAAAGATAGGCTTTACATATACTAGGTCCAGCAGACAAGAGAATTACCAGACATTAAGGAATCTGGGAAAAAAACTCCTCCAGCTGATTTTGTGTTACGATCACACCAAGCTTTTGAGTAAAAACTGCGTTGGTCACATCAAGTCCTGTTCATGTCACCACATCTTTAGCACGGATCTGAAAGTAACCATCCAGGTTGTGTACAGTCCCATCTGCACAAGTTTACGAAACCCATTAAAAAATAAATTCACTTCTGTTGTGCATTGCTTACCACCCCTCTTGGAAAATAGGTTTTAGGGGCCCGTTTTGTAGGCTGGATGGGATTGGGCCTTAGGGATAATATTGGATTGGTTGGGACAAGTAAGACAAAACTTGTAACCCATGCATAACCCATAATGTCTAGTTCTGTTCCTCTCATATTTTGACACATCAAACAATGGACTAGACTCGAGTCCATTTTAATTGGTCACAACCTATCCCAAACAGGAAGTTCAATGCCAGACAAAATAATTTAGCTACTAAGACGGGGAAAGTGAAAGACGAGATTATATTTATTAATCGAATGCTTTAGCTCATTTGGGAATTGATATAAGCCTATTCTCTTTCTCTCTAAACAGAAGTTAAAACAATCGACCATAAGAAGCATGATATGCACCTTTCAGCTACTTTCTAGAAATCGAACAATTTTTTTAAATCACATATGAGGCTCAGTTTTCAATCTTATCTGACATTACTAAAAGAGTAAATTAGATTGGAGGCACCCTCTTGATCACATAAAAACGAAACAAATGGAGTTCCAAGAAATAACGACCCTAAAATCAAGAATCACATACGTCTTATGAAATACATAATGTTTCTCACGCGACTGATGTAGCTCGTTAGGGAATTTATATAAAATTATTCTCTTTCATTCTAAAAAAAACTTATAATAATCAGCCACAAGAAGCATGAGCTTGGCATGAACCTGAACACGAGCAAGTTATGCACTATCCAGCTACTTAGAAAGAAATCACATATGGGGCTCAATTTCAATCTCATCTATCTGACATTACTACAAGAACAAATTATATTGGAGTTACCCTGTTGATGGCAAGAAAAAGAAACAAAGGGAGTTCCACACATTTATTATTCATGCAGTGATAATCCTAAAAACAAGAATCAGATACTTTTGAATCAGGAATTGTTTCATCTAAGAGCAGAACGAAGATCAAGCAAGGTATTGGAGGCTTACGTTATAAAGTTTGTTTGGATGTGGAACTCTCCAAATGGTAAACTGCCGATTAGCCCCCAACTTCACACCTGCACCACATTAACCGCAATGGTATCAATATATAGAGGGTAACAAACTTATCAGATATATGGTACATTATGTTGCAAGACTCTGAATTTGGACCTCCTATGCATTCGTATAAAAGTTTACCAGATAAATAATCTCGATAAACTCACAATGCAACATCCAAAGTATCATAAGAACATTTCCCTGTAAATGCAAAACACGCAAGTGATGAAGTACCCTTGGAATTCAGAAACAAGTTTGAAATGACAAGCGGTTAGTTTTTGAGACATAGCTTGCTAAAGGGCAAGGAAATGACATGATAATCCCACAGAACAATCCCATCAGTTACTAGCCTTCTGGTGCCACAACAGGATCTACACGATTTTATTTACATCACAACAAACTCTAAATTCATTGAAAACAAGACATATAAAACATAAACTTTAAGACAAATAGCCAGTTGGGTAACATGGACAGAAAAAAATGCATGGCTGTTTCTTGTCATTGGAAATGGAAACAACAAAAGATTAGACCCCTGTGCGTCTGTGATGCCCTTTTTGCACAGTTCCTAGCAGAGCAAGTACACACTCTCCTCACTACAAAAACATAAGTGCACAAAAAAGGTAATTAGCAACTTAGCAAAAGCACAACAACCAAAAAACCAGAAGACCAAAAACACAAAAACACAAAGGCAAGTTCGCTAGGGTACAAAAATGCACAAGGTATATTGATTTCTCAAAGGCCTAGGCCCAAACTAAGATCATCTCCAACTGATCCGGCCAGAGGGCTAAAAATAGGCCGATACGAAAACCGTCTCCAACCGAGGGTTAGGCCAAAGGGCTCGTGGGCCCCATCAGGCCAAAATACCAAAGCGTCAACCGGCTTGCCCAAATGAGCTAACCAGCCCCGATCAACCCAAAAAATTCAAATCCAACAGCTACTGGCGTCAGCATGACACCAGCTGGCAACGTTTAGCTGACGTCATGCTGATGCTAGTCGCTGTTAGATTTGAATTTTTTTTTTTTTTTTCAGATAATTTTTTTTTTAAAAAAGTAATAAAAAATTCCAAATATTTTTCCTATAAATACCTTAAGCCATTCCTACACCATTTCTCACATAATTTTCATCATTTCATACTATCTTACTTCATTCTATTTCAATTCTTCATATTTTATTCTCTTACCATTTCCAATAATTTTTCCTTCAATTTTTTCAATAATTTTCAAATGGCCACATGTGCAATGAAAGGTAATGTTTGGACACGAAAATAAGATAAAGCTCTTTGCAGGGCTTATAGATGGATCTCGGAAGATAATGTGAGAAGGAGTTCTCAAACAAGTAAAGATATTTGGACTCGTATGTCCAAAAAATAGTATGAGTTCTACAAAGACACCACTCCACCGTATCCCGAAATCATAGAAGTTGTTTTTTCAAGATGAAAAAAAATATCTTCATCCAAATTTGAATAAATGACATTAAGCAGTATTAAAGGCCGCAAGTAGACATGAAAGCAGAGCCAAGACATATAAAACACAAACTTTAAGACAAATAGCCAGTTGGGTAACATGGGCACAAAAAAAAAATACATGCCTGTTTCTTGTTATTGGAAATGGAAACAACGAAAAGATCAGACCCCAGTGCGTCTGTGATGCCCTTTTTGCACAATTCCTCGCAAAGCAAGAACACATTCTCCTCACTACACAAACATAAGTGCACAAAAAGGGTAATTAGCAACTCAGCAAAAGCACAAGAACCAGAAAACCCGAAGACTAAAAACACAAAAACACGGGTTAGGCAAGGTCGCTAGGGTACACAAACGCACAAGGTATGCTGATTTCTTAAAGGCCTAGGCCCAAACTAACAAACGCACAAGGTATACTGATTTCTTAAAGGCCTAGGCCCAAACTAAAAGACTTTCCCCAGCAGTTGCACCCATGTTTGATCTTGTAACCCGTACATTAAAATGCTGAGTAGTTTAGAATATTGCAAAATAAAATAAAACAAACAAAGCCTAGTTTATTGATTTGCCGAAGCCAATCATAGACTCTCCACAACTCCAATCCTCACTAAATGCCTCTCCAACGCCACTGCCATCGTCCGCCGCAAGCTCCCGCCAGGCTTCTTGACGCTCCTTGACCAATCCCCGCTCGCCATCTACCTCTCCCTGCCCACCAAATCCTTGCCTGCCGTCAACCTATCGGACCTCCCCGCCTCCCCACTCCCTCTCGTTCTTGTCGCGCTCAACGCCACGTGGAAGCACGCGCGGGAGATGTCGAAAGCGAACGAGGGGTTTTTGTCGGCGTTCTCGACGAGGGTCTGTTTAGATTCGGAGTTGATTCCGAGGAAGGAACCGTTTGGCGGGTGCGTGAGTACTTTTGAGGCTGTGACCAAGGCTTTGGGTGCGCTAGAGCCTAATGGGATGGACTGGGTGGCTTTTGTTGGCTGGTTATCTTATTAAGCCCATAAAGACCAGGCCCAAGTTGTTGAAGAAAGGCAAGAAAAACAATGGCAAAGAGGAAAATGATTTCAGACACTTGTAAGTGAGAGGTTTAGGTTCAATTTTCGTTAAAGGCGAATTTGAATCAAATTATTGCTAGTCTATTATGAGGCTAAATCTGTCTCATCCCTTTAATGTAGATAATATCGTTTGTTAAAAATAAAAAATGCTATGTTTTGTATGCGAAAATTTATTCATTAAAAATTATTTTTCACGTCTTTCTCTAGGAGAAGGAAAATGCAAAAAAAAAAAAAAAAAAAAATTCTCATTTTTGGTAAGAATAGGAATGTAGGAAATATCCTTTTTTTTTTTTGGGATATAATGGAAATTTTGCAGAGTTAATTTGTTAGTGACACCAAATTTGTCATAAGAAGATAGCAATCAATGCATCTTTTTTGGTTCCCTGTAAGAGCAATTCCATCCCTAAAGATTTTGCGCCAGCACCCAGCGCATTTATCCACTCAAGTGAACCGTAATATACTCTAATAAACAGTAATAGGCCAAAGTATCTCCACCCCTAAAAAAAAAAGTCTGGTCAATTTATTAAAATATTATTATTTTTATTATAAAATAATAAAAAAATAATTTTATTTTTAATTTTTGACTTTATAAAAAAATAAAATAATAATAATATTATTAAAACATTTTTATTTTCCCATCTTCCACACTTCTCTTCCCTTCCATTCCTGCACGCCATCCACCCAGCATAGATAATCCATTCCCACCATTGCCTCCAAACCTCCTCTGATGCCATTGCCCTCCTGTCCTTCAAATCCCAAGCCGACCTCAACAACAAGCTCCTTTACACCTCCTGTCTTTCAACACCGTCGCTTCGTCCTCCTGCATCTCCACACCTCAGATGCCATCGCTTCGTCCTCCCGTCCTTCTCCCTCCGTGGCTCCTTCCCTCCCGACACCCTCTTCCACCTCGACCAGCTCCGCTCCTCACCTCCACAACAACGCCCTCTCTGGCGCGCAAAAAAAAAAAAAAAAAAAGGGCTGACATCATTTGCCCTCTGACGCCACGCTGACGTCAGATGGACCGGTCTCAAGGTCTGTCAATTTTGGGCTGGCTTGGAGGCCAGCTTGGGCTGGGTGCCAGGCAATGGAACGGGCTGGAGTGGATTGGCTGAGTGCCAGCCTTGTTTTTTGGCTGAGTGCCAGCCTAACCACCTCCCGGTGGAACTGCTCTAAGGAATGTGAAGTTAATACCAAGGGCTGAATGGGAAAGTTGTGATATTCTGTCTCAAAATTTATTATTTATTTGTTTTACTGTTTTTGAAAAATGTGATTCAATTTAAATTTAAATTTGGTGTGTACTCAAAATAGATAGATAGAGCTCATAGCATATGGTGGGGGTGTACTTAGAACCTTAACCTGAGGCGGTGGCCGTGGCGGAGTTCAATTGGTTCTTTGAAGCATTTGAGAAGCCTGGACTTTCCTAAAAATAAAGTAATCACCGATCTCCTGAATTCAATTAGTAAGTTGCAGAGCTTGCAAAGTCTAAATCTTGATGGATGTGTGAATCTTAAAGAATTGCCTAGAGACATGAGCAAGTTGATCAGCCTTAGATTCCTTAGAATAACCACAAAACAATCAAGTTTCCCAGAGGAGATGCATCGGCTCGGTGCCTTAACACAACTCAAAATCAGAGTGTCCTGATCCGGAGAAGAGATGCTAGTGCGACACATGAGAAGATCGGCCAAATATTTCTTAATTTCTTATGTTACAAATGTTTCTTTTGAATATAACTAGAAAATATGTTCGCGTTTTGCTGCAGGACCTTGAATGCTCCAACCTTAACTACATGAATATGACACACTTAACCTGAATAAATTAAACATAATCCTAAAAGAACAGAGGAATAGAGGAGTGACACATTTTCTTGATTTTTCTTGTAAAACTCAAAGCTTACTGTCCAAAACCAAATAATTTGAACCATGTTACATGCTTGTGCAACATATGCCCTACACTGGAAAAACATCAAAAATCGAATACAAATTTGTAAATCATTGATGGATTTTGTTTTACATATTTATAATCAAATCAAGTGGCAGTGTAGCACGTAAAATTACAAACCATTCAACCTCTGGACAATGAGAGGATCACAAAGACAACCAAGAATGAGAGCAAAGCAGACAGCAAACGAATAACATAAAGTGATCAAACCAAACAGTTAATAATAAAAAGAAAAGAAATCATAAAGATAAGTTGTCTGAAACGGAAAGAATGGGAAAAGACCATATTTAAGTTCAGGTGACATATGAAAGTCTTGATTCAAATGTGATTTAAATATAAGCAAAAGAATAGACGCATATCATTTGTATACACACACCACCATCTGCATAACCAACAACTTCAATGAATTTGCATAGAATTGCAAACTCTAACCCTAAACCACACGCACCTTCATATCCATCAAAACAGAATGAGAGTGGAAATCAAATTTCAAAAAGCCTCATTTCTACATCACAACTAACCACTGCAACTATATATTTTGCAACCAGAAAAAATGATAATAGTTTCTTATTTTATACCTGTATAAATCACTTGGGAGAAATGGAGTTAAAATAATAGAAACTAAATCAAAATTTGAACGAATATTTCGAACCAACGAAAGATTTTTTTCACCTGCCAACACAGATTACATAGTAATGCATTAGCTAATTGTAACAATTGGGAAAAACCACTTAAACAACTCAAAAAATCAGTTTGATCCAAAGCTAAAACACAAATCTTAATTTGTTCTTTGCTGATGTTGCTAATTCTATGATCAAGATGGGGAATATTACTCCTCTTACAGGTACAACCCAAAGTATGTGACGACTGGTGAGTGTGAGTGTGTGTGTGTGTAGTGAAGCGTTCACTTGAGATGCTTAAAATAATATTTGAGCAAACTCTGGCCATCTCAAACCTAGCCTTGATATTCTCTGAATTCACTGTTTCATTAACATGTCTAAAATCATTTTCATTTGCAAATGCAATATCATATTAAGTGTGCTGCTACGTCCACTCATATGTTCTATGTAGCATATGCATTCAACTCAATACCCTAACATTACAGTGAAAATTAATTGATATTATAAAGAAGTTGAG